GAAAACCTTTAAAATAGTAACACATTTCATTATATAGTATCAAAAATCACATGTATTACTATAGCCACTGATGTCATTAGAAAAACCTCTCTAAATATTGAGAAGCTGTCAAGCTCACAGTGGTGGGCACAAGTTTTCCAAGATTTTAGTTATTGCTTGAAAGCTTGAAATTAGTGCTCCACAAAAAAAGCAGTTAGTTCAGCTCACAATTCAAAACATTACTCATGTGCCTTTCTTTGAGATAGCTATCAATCATGATACTGTAGCATGTAGTAGAAGTGATTTATGGGTAGTTTAATTTTGTCACACAAATTATTTTTTAAAAGGATGTAGTATCCAAGTTCAAGATTTAATAAAATTAGTAGTCTTTACTGCATCAGTAAGGGCAATCTTAAACTGGCTGTTATTGTGTTGGAGAGCATATGGTGGCGTTTACTAGTGCAGTGACATAGTACAGTTTGATGGCATTGCCTTGATGTGTGCTAAGGCACCGCACTTTAACCCAGTATTGCTTTTATGCCATCACTGTGAATGTCAGCACAATGAAAAGGGCAAAGAATGTCTTGGTATTACTATGAAAATGATTTTAACCTCTAGCAGGCCCCCTGAAAGGGTCTCTCGGACTTCCAGGGGTCTGTAGACCATATTTTATCCAATCTTAGCCCCAGCGTACCACACTTTCTCAACTCTTTCAAGAGTTGGAGCCTTTAAACTTCTTCTTTCCCATAGAATCACACTTTGCCTTATTTTTCAAACTCATGCCCTTCAGTCCATAAAAATAATAATAATAATTCTTTATCCAACTACGCTTCATGCTATCATCCTTGTTCCCTTATTTAACACATAGTTTGCGTTTATTCTTCCTCCTTATATTCTAAACCATACCTCAACCCTTTCAGATAGCATTTCCAATTTATTTTTTTAGTATTTCCGGTGACAGATTTAATCCAGTATTTTAATTTATTTTTTTACTCTACTCAGCATCATTTATAACAGGTGACTAGTCTTTGCTTTCTGGTTTTTCCTTTCTAGAACTTCAGTGTATTTTTCTCTTACCTTTGTAATTGTTGTAAGTCTCCTTTGCCGACTCAGCCTCTGCTCACTCTCTAATGTTCCCAACTGTATTATCTTTGTTCTGCATGTTCTCATTCACTTTAACTGCCATGTTTAGGGTGACTCAAGTTGCTATCTCTAATCCTAAACCCTGCTCTAAGCTCCAGATCTATAGTTCCAACTTGTTTGAAATGTTGCCAAATGGTTGTCTCACATTTTTGAGACTGAACTTGACATTCCCAGAAGCAAACTCTCCCATCACTCTTCCCAAAACTTCAAGTACAGGGCTGAGCATTAACATAGTAGGAAAACAGCAGTCAGCATAACAGGCAAGATACCTATAAGGCAAGAACTATAATAAACAAGTAAACAATAATATAAGTACAGAATATGATAAGTACTGGTTGTTCTGGGGATGGTTGCGAGATCTACTTAGGTTTGTCAGGGTCTCTCTCTCTCTCTCTGAAGAGTTAATATCTAAACTAAGTCCTTAAGAATGAGAAGGATTCAGCTATATGAAGAGAGAGTGAGAAAGCATTTCATGTGGAGGGAACAGCAAGCATCAAGGCCCCAGGTTAAGATCTTGGGATGTTTTAAGAGCCTAAGGTCGCTGTAGATGATGAAGGTAAGATTGAACTGAGGAAAAGTGGAGTTGGTAGGTCATACAGTGTCTTCTACATCATAAAAAGTAGTTTAAGTTTTATTCTAATTGCAGTGAGAAGCCATTGATATGTTTTAAGCAGGCTGTGACAAAATCACATTTCCATATCTAAAATATTTCTCTGTATGGTTATCTATTAACTATAACTATGGTTAATAGATAAGTGTTGGGGGGCTTGGTGGAATGGGGGGATCTGGTTGGAAACTCCTAACAGTAATCTAGGTGAGAGATGATGGTGGTTTCAGCCTGAGGGTAGACTAGAGAGGAGATAGAAATGGACAGAGATACAAGGTATGTTTTGGAGCCTTGAGCCAAAAGGACCTTATCTTAAGGGGTAGCCTGAAAGATAAGTTGAAGTTTTTCAGAGAAAGCATTACCATGTGTGTCAAGCTGAGGGAACACCATGTTCAAAGAGTAAGAGAAACCAGAGGGAAATAGATATTTGAGGACCTGGAAGAAGCTCAGCATGCCTTGAGCATAAAAAGGGGGAGTGGCCAAAGGTGAGATGGGAGATAGAGGCAGAAGCCCGACCATATGGGACCATGTTAAGGCAGTTACTGTGTCTGGGCTAAGCTGGGCCCTGGGAATGATCTGATTATAACCAGAAATGGAAATCCAAGGAGAATGTGTAGAATGAAATGAACGTGGATTCTAAAGCCAAGACCTGAGGAACATTCGTATTTAAAAGGGAAAAAAATAAATAAATAAATAATAAAACAGAAACACACACACACACAAATAAATAAAAGAAATTGATAAAGGAGACTGAGAAGAAACAGAAAAGGAAAATTTGGGATAAGAGGAACCAATAAAGCCAGAGGACAAAGGTTTTTAAGAAGTCATTGGTCATATTTGAGATGATTTTCTGATTAAAGACTTGAGAAATAGCCTTTACTGGTCTTTGATGAACTTGGGGTGAGAATGACTTTGATGTAGTCACAGGTTGAAAAACAGATTACTGTAGGTTAAGAAAATTGAGACACTGCGTATAGATAACTGGGTGGACTTTGAGAGTGTGGGGGTTGGAGTTTGCAGTGGGTTTTTTAGTGGTAAAATGATTTTTTTTTAATTAGGACTTTACTTTTTTAGAGGAGTTTTAGATTCATGGCAAAATTGGGAAGGTGCAGAGATTTGCCATATACCTCCTGCACCCACACATGCATGGTCTTCCCCATTGTCAATGTCCTCCACTAGAGTGGAGCATTTGTTACACTTCATGAACCTGTATCGATACATCACTGTCATCCAAAGTCCATACACTACATTAGGGTTCACTCTTGGTGTTGTACGTTCTATGGGTCTTGACAAATGTATGACATGTATCCACCATTATAGTGTCACGCAGCATAGTTTCACTGCCCTAAAAGCCCTCTGTGCTTCAGCTCTTCATCCCTCTCTCCCCTCAACCCCTGGCAACCACTGATCCTTTTACTGTCTCCATAGTTTTGCCTTTTCCAGAATGTCATATAGTTGGAATCATAGAGTATGTACTTTTTCAGATTTGTTTATTTTACTTAGTAATATGCATTTAAGGTTCCTCCATGTCTTTGCATGGCTCGCAAGCTCAATTTCTTTTTAGCACTAATAGTCCATTGTCTAGATGGACCACAGCTGATCTATTCACCTACTGAGACATCTTGGCTGCTTCCAAGCTTTGGCAGTTACGCATAGAGGTGCTATAAACATCCGTGTGCAGTTTTTTGTTGTGGACCTAAGTTTTCAATTCCTTTGGGCAAATACCAGGGAGTTTTGGTGGAATCTTAAGGAGAATTTTGTGGTTTTGTTTTTAAATGTATAAGATACATGTTCAAATACTGTTTAAAAGAGAGTGATTGAGAGGCCAGGAGAGAGGAGCTGGGACGGGATGGGGTCCTCCACAGTATTTCTTACCTCACCTGCTGTCACCTAGTATCTCAAGCTAGAAACTTAAGTCACATCTACCTTTTTTTGTAGTTAGCCTTTGCCCCACTTGCAAATACTCATCAAATCTTAATTTTTACCACAGCAATATCATTTGGATACATAGTTTCTCCTCTCTACACTAACGTTGCTTTTTATGAGGTTGGCAGTATCTCTATAGGGCTGTTGAAACAGCCGCATCCCCACTCTGGTCCCTTAAAAAGAAAAATAACCAGTATGCTCATATGACTCCTTTAATTACTACTTGTGGTGTGGCCCTTCCTAGTATTAACCTCTTGTCAGCTTCCTCTCCTCCCATTTACCGTCTCTCCCATCCCACCGCATACCCTTCAGTTACATTAAACTTCTCTCTGATCTATTAACTTGCTCTGCCGTTACCCACCCTTTCTTTCCTTTTAAAAAAAGTGTTTTCTTTACCTTCAAGTCCTCCTCCCACCCGTGCCTCTCTGGCAAATCCCTATTCTAGATCTGCCTGCTAGTCACCAGTAATAACTTTACTCGGGCAGAGCAGGTCATCCCTTCCTGTATCCACAGCACTGTCTTCATCCTTCTGTTGTAATTTTCATTTATTCCTCTGTTTTACTAATTATTTGTTTGTATGTCTGTCTGCACCGGAGCTACTGGCACCTCCAGACCAGGGTCATGCGTGTATCCTAGATGCTTGGTATAGCATCTGAAGTTCATTCAATGTTTGTTGGATGGATGACTGAAGTATAACCATTAATGAAGCTTGACATATTCCTAGCCTGTTGGAATTGGAAGTGATCGTTTTAAAGATAAGTACACTGAGGCCTAGAGAGGTGAAATGATTCCCTGAAGGTTGTACGGAGAAGGCCTCTATTCTCCGGGCCTGTGCCCCTGTGCTGCAGTGCGCCAGTGCTACTCTCAGCCAGTACTGGTCCGGTAATGTCTGGATTATGATAGAGCCAATATGAGCACATTTACTGTATATGATTCTGTTTAATTTGTAGCTTATAGAATGTGACTCAAATATTGGAACGAGAAAAAGATACTATATGGAAACAGTCCTAAAAATCTGTTTGAATTCAGTACATAGACTGGACTTCCTTCAAGTAAATTATTTAGTAGTCAGATTTAGTGTGCTTTTACTAAACTCCACACTTTATTCCCCTAGTCCACTTAGTGAGGTCCCTGGGTACAAAACTGTGTGTGTGTGTGTGTGTGTGTGTGTGTGTTTGCGTTTGTGTGTGTTAGCGCGCACGCGCACCCATGTGCATTTGGCAGGGGGCTGGGGAATAGGTTCCATATTTTTTTCAAAGGGTTCTTTGATTCCCACAAAGAGTTAACCACTGCACCTGACTGATTTGAAGATATTTTGTGTTGTGATAAGTGATCTTTCTCTAAGCAAAGTACATTAAAAATTCTTTTAGCTGCTACCTGAATTACATTTTTAATCTCTGCTACTTGCTTTCATTTTTAGGGTTTGTGTTTAGTGAATCAGAGGGATCTGCATTAGAACAGTTTGAAGGTGGCCCCTGTGCTGTTATTGCACCTGTTCAGGTAACATAGACTACTTTACCAACTCCTTAGAGGGACGCGTTCCAACATTTCATACTTTTTGTTTTCTAATATATATGCTCTATGTAATCATGAGGCATGATCAGTTACCTCTTAACTTCTGTTCATGTGAATTGCTATAAATAGCCAAAATAAAAATGAATTCAGAACATGAGTAGGTTACACAGCAATAGCCTTTTGACTACCTTATTTTCAAGGAAACACGAAAGGTATTTTCAGAAAACTAGGACTAATATCACATCTTTTTAATACAGTGATCCTGTTGAGTAATAACATTTTATACTACAGAGAGTTACATTGTATAGCGGTGGTACTATTTTCATTTGTTCTGTCTATAAAGTATGATTTTCCTAAAGAGTGGAAATGAGTTAATGTTTTCATGGCATAAACTTTATAAATTTTTTTTTTAAAGTTGGCAGTATATACTATTTTAGGCTTCGGACTTTAAAATTAGTAACAACTAATTTTAAAGATTTTTTTCTTTGCACTAAAGATAGGGTTAATCTAAATATATGTCTTTGGTTTTGAATCTTGATGTGTTACATGTTTGAATTTCAAAGAATGATTTGTTATAAACTGTTACATTGTAAAAACCGAAAGTTGGATTTTCAATTTACCATTACACTTATAAGATCTGAACAGCAGTGTAACTTCAGAACTTGGATTTATTGTTTATGTTTTAATCAGCAGGTTTTGAAAAATAAATATTTAATGTGGTATTTATTATTCATTGGGCATAAAGAATGCATTCCTTAACTGTTAGCTGCAAAGTAAATTTCTCTTTCAAACCTTTTACTTCATACACTTACATTATTAAATTCAAAATGTGTTCTCCAAAGGAGGGAAGAAAATTCCCTTCGCGGCTGATTCCAAAATATGTCCTTTATAGGTCATTATTTCTTTAAAGAGTTGATATATGTATATCAATATATATATATATATATATATATATATATATATATATTGCACTAGCAGTATTTTTAAAAATTAAAAAAATTGAATGTTTGAACTTTGCCTGGGAGTTACTGAGTATAAAGGATAAAATTTAACTATAAATTAATTATTAGAGCTGTTATGTTGGGTAACTGAGGCAGATTTTGGTTGCTAGTAGGAATCTTATTGGAATTAAAGATTCCTTATCCTGCCTGCCTGTATGCAAATTGGGTTATATTAACACTGCCCCTCTTGGGTCCATAATAGTACCCTCAGGTCTTTATTGCAAGTCTGTGAATGTAGTTAAATGCACAGTATACCACAGGAGTTTTGTGTTTTATAAATTTTAGTATATGTATTTCCAAAATGGTAGTTATTTTTGCAAGTGGGTTTGCTGTGTAACAAGGGATAATGGTAATGTTCAAAATCCTGATGTGTCTTTGAGGTAGTAATTTAGTTTCGTAGTCACACAAATCTTTTCAGTCATAGAGGAATTTTGTTTATATTACTATTTCAGTGTAAAAGTCAAAGCTAAATCATTAAGAGCAATGAAGGGAAATAAGGAAGTCCAGATATTAAAACTTTTTAGACTATAAAAATTAGAACATGACACAATTGCTAGAAGAATAGCCATGTTATGGAGTCAAATACATAATACAGTAGTAGATCACATTACATATAACAATTGAACAAGAATTTCTCACATGTGATAAAGAAGAAACTACAAATCAGTGATGGAATAAAATTAAATGTCACTTATATGACTGGTTAGCAACTTAAAGGGAAAAAATGAATTTAGATAATCTCATACCATATACTAAATATATTCTGATATACTAATCAACCACAGAAAAGCTGAAAATAATGTATTGTCAGCCATCTAAGAAAAAGGATGGGTTCTAAGCTCAGAAAAATATTTGCAATGAAAATTAACAATAAATGGATATTGTCTTTCTTAGGCAAAGAACTTGTACAGGTTGATTAGAAAAACACTTAAGACCTCAGAGGTGAAATGGGCATGTATATGCAATCCTAGCAAGTCAAGTGGTGCTGGGCAGCCAAAGAATCAAGATGTTCGATCTCAGTAGGAATCTAAGAAAGTACAAATCAAACTGTAATGAGATTCTACTGCTTACTCTTTCTAACCTTTAAATAGAAAATAATTGCCTGTGCATATAAGGCTAGGATGATACTGGCATACTCATATATCACTCGATAGTACAAATTTGTACTTTGATCCTTGGAAGGAATTTTACATCATAATTGGAACCATGATAATACAGGTTATTTGATGCAATAATTGTACTTCTGTGAATCTTTCCTAAAGAAATATTCCTTAATATGAGAAATGTATTCAAGAAGAAGCGTTTATATTTATAGTAGTAAAAAATTGCGAACAACCTAATGTGCAGTGATGTACTTTAAACATGAAATAATGTTTAAGTAATTTTTGATGGCTTCATAGACATTTAGTGATTAAGAATTATAGTTATAAATTCTGTGGGAAAACAGAAAAATGTAATCACATACCTGTTATGCTTCTCACTTGCAAAAATATTTAATGCAGGTATGAAACAAAGACTAAAAGGAAGTATATCAAAATGCTAAGTGGTTGTATTAGTGGTGAAATAATGGGTGTCCCATCTCACTTTTCCAAAGTTTTATAATATAGTTATACTATTTATTTTTATAGTTGTTTTCATTTGGGGGAAAAATCAGAAGCACTTGTTTGTAGTATTTGTAGATTTTATTTCTATGAGAACATTATAAAATATTACTTAGATTTTTGTTAAAATTCTTTGAAATGATTGCCTGCTAGGTGCCAGGTACTGTGCTAAGTGCATTACTTATATTATCTCATATAATCCTCACTGCAACCTTTTAAAGTTTGTGCTATTATTATTTTCAGTCGTAAAGTAGTGGAAGTAGGATTCAGTCCTCTTGTCTGTACACTACTGCTTTCAAACGCAATAAATAAGAATCACCATAGTAACCTCTTTTTCTTGAGCCTGTCCCCTAGAGATTCAGATACAATAGATGAAGCATAAGAATCTGCATTTTAGGTAAACAAGTTGGGTGACTAGGATAGTTCTTTACACTTTGAGAAGGAAACAGTGTACTACACTGCACTGCTTTCTATCAAATCACCAGTGTAACGTAGTTGGCTCACTTATGGGAAGGTTAGAGATCTGTTTTTCTTTTAAGTCTTATAGTTTTTATTTTAGTTAAACTAGGAAGTAGGAGGTCCTTGTAATAAAGCTATGACTTTTGCAGTGGTATTCTTGTATCACAAATTAGAGCTAATAGAGCAGAACCACTTTTGTAGATTTCTTTTTCCCCAAGGAATCAAAATGTAGACTTCTTCCTGTTTTATAGGGCCTTTGCTCTTCTATAGAGCCTATTACATTTTTAAAAGTTTCCAGTTGTGTGTCTTACTTTGAATCATGTCTTGTATTTACCAGAAAATACATATTATGAAAGAAGAATTTTATGGATCTAGAATCAAGTTTATAGTAGTGTATTCTGAATAAATAATTATGCTCAGCTAACTGTCGAATGTGAAGGGGAGCCATTTGAAATTTTTATAGCTCTATTCAAAAAATTAGAAAGGAGGTACAAATTAGTTTCTTTTTTCCATTTTAAAATAAAAGAATGAAAGAAGGTATGTGTATAGTGCATGCTAATAATTATTGCTTTAATTGTATAAAGGCATTTCTTTTGAAGAAGCTCCTGTTTTCTTCTGAGAAGTCTTCTTGGAGGGATTGCCCAGGTATGATAGCTGTCTTTTATTAACTTTTACTCCATCCTCTGTTTTATGGATGTGACCCATGCAGCATTCTTTGGCAATAGTTTAGTCCAAATTATCTACTAGTATCTTAAAATGTAAACTATCAATGGGATATTTTTTCCTGAGGGTTTTTTTGTTTTTGTTTTTTTGGTTTTTTGGGGTTTTTATTACTGTTTCAGAAAGTTTCATGGACAATGACTCCAAATTTTTAAATGCATATTTCCAAATTTGGTTTTCCTAAGAGTTGTAAGACAGGATAATATAAGGGAAAAAATTTGGCCTCTTGCTAAAACATTTCCCTAAACTGTTAAATAATAGCATACCATAAAAAATAGTCAGTTACACATATGTATTTTGTCTTATTAAACTTTGAGCAAGAGCTCAGAATTATCTTCGTATATCCTGCATCTTTCAATATAAAGCCCTATGCAATGCAAATAATACTGCAAATAATTCTGAATTAAATTGCAAATGAAGCTGCCATAACTCTGCCATATGATTAGGTCAGAGAGCTGATGGTGCCACCTGATAATAAACATTTGCATTCTGCTTGACTGGTTACATAGATTTTTCCTTCACTTACACAATTTCTTGTGAACCTCACAATAACTTCTAGAAGGAAGTAGGACATATTATAATCCAAGTGTGAATATAAGACTTAAAATGTCACTGTCCTGTATTTTTTATTAATTAATAGCTGAAATGCAAAATCAATTTTAGTACACAAACTCTCCAAGAGATACTATTATTAACATGGACGTTTTGTTAATAAAATTTATATTTCTTGCACAGAAATATATTCACATTGATAAAAATTTATATAGCGTTGTCATAAATGTTGTGGTTATAAATTGAATGGCACAGTTCCTACTTTTAAAGAATTTTCAGTCTATTAGGAGAGATAGAAACCTCCATATAGCATAAAATTTTATATAGGGTGGGTATACATACATCTTATCCCCTTTGTTTGAAAGTTTCAAAAAGCAGTACTACTTTTGGAGAGTAATGCTGCTTGAAAAGGGGAGGGTGGCTAAGGTTCAGGAAGAAATTGAGCATTTGAGCTATTTTCTATAGAAATCTACAGCTCAAATCACTGCAGTACAGTATCAGTAGCTTCTGAAATTCACAGCATAACCACGATGGCCCCTCCTAATGTAATGGATTGCAGTATTGTATGTGTTGATGGTGTGTTATCTCATTATCCTTACCTCTGGGACAGGGAGATCAAAGACATTAGAGTAATTCAGAAATGGGGGGAAAATAGAGGCTTCAAAGGCCCTTCCATTGTGCCTGGTTCTACAGTTAAGTAAACCTCGTGGTTTAAATGCTCCATTTGCAGCTAAGAAAGGGGAAGTCAGTATGTATCAGGTTATTCTAAGCAGCATATTCTTTCTTCTAATGTTTAATTCTGCATTTTTTAGGATTCTTTTTCTCATTAATGGAAATATCTAATAGTGGTGATATTTTAACCCTCAAGCATATTGATTTCCTAAAATTTAATTTAAGGTCAGTTGTCTATGGGTTCCTCCCCCACACTTAAAGTGTTTGATTTCATCATTAATGCATTCTTAATATTATTGATGACTATTTTTTTTTCAAAGAAAACCATTATAACTTATACTTTGGTTACTTTTAGAGGAAGAGCGGAAGGAACTCCTTTGTCACACCTTAAGTGATATTTTAGAAAGTGCCTGTTGTGACAACTCGGGATCATACTGCTTGGTTACATGGTTAAGAGGAAAGACAACTGAGGAAACTGCTGGTATTTCCGGGAGTCCCGCAGAATCTAGTTGCCAAGTGGAACATTCCTGTAAGCTACATTTTTGTTTCCTGGAAGCAATTTGTTATACCTTTGTTTTAATAAAACGATTGAAAATTTTAAAGAAAAAAAATAGATTTAAATTTTTTCATAACCTGTCTCTTTTTTAGCCTAAGGTTAATTGATGAGCCTGAGTAGTTTTCATCTCTCTCTTGGTTATTTTAATTGCTGGAGGGGGTTACATTTGCTTTTTTAAAAAAAAATCCAGTTAACTTCTTGATTACATTCTCTTTTGAGCTTTGGAGTTCTCATTTAGAAAGTTTAAAGAACATATTTCTATATACTTTAATTTTAAATACCTTAATGTTTTCTTTAGTATTGGGGGGAGGAACGGATATTTTTTCAACATAAAAAAATTTCTTAAATAGCTTTAGTTGCTTCCTACAGTAAAGATGGGGACTTTTTTTCGTTACGCAGTTTCTTTTCTTTCTGAACTTTTTGGGCGTTGTTACTATATATGAATTATTTTAAGCTAGTTTTAATTATGTTTAATTTTCCCTTCATTTAAGTTTTTCATAATTTGAAGATTTCTTTTTAAAATAAGTAACAGCTATTCTCATTATGAAAAATCTTATAGTCTGTGGCCTTTAGCCTTTGAAAATTCTTATGTAATTGACCTAAAAACTGCCAGAATTAACTAGTAATTCTAGTTAATTCTAGAATTAACTAGTGGTTAATTCTGGTGGTACAGAAGCTAGATAAATGGAGTTGCTTTTTGTTTTTCTTTGCAGGAATTATCTTCTTAGTAAGTGGTTTTTGAGAATTGGTAGTTCCAAGTGCTTATATTGAATAAGTGACTTATTCTACCTATAATGCATTTTACTGTCATCTCTGTGGAAATTGTTCTTAAAGAAATTAGACTGATTTCTAGAAAGTAAATTTTGATTACTTGTGATATACATCTTGCTTTCCCTGTAGGGCTGTCTATGAGGCATTGTCGCTTCCTTGAGCTAAAGTCTTTGTGATGTCAGTATTTTCTCTCCTACCTCTGCAGTTACAATGACAAATTCTAATAGCAGTACATCCGCAAGGAACAATTTTTAAAATTTAAACAGTTCAACGACATTTCTTTTTCAGGCCTTTTAAACATAACCTTTCCAAAAAATTAACACATTTTTAGAGTTCATAATACAGTTGAAGAAAATAAGTGGAAAATATTCACAAGGACCATAGTAAAAAAATCATTAAGTATGGTTTTAAAGTATTTTCCAGGTTTTAATGGGTTGCATGTAAGCATGTTTAATAATTTCATTAAGGATATTAAACTTTTCACAGGAATAGTTGAACTAATTAAAGTTCTTTTAAAGATTATGTACTTAAAGCCAGTCTCTATATCAAAATGTAAGAAAATAGTAAGATCTTTTTTTGTAACATTTTTCATCAGTGTCTTGGCATGTACTTTGTGCTTCCTATGGACTGTGCTGTATATTCTGTAGTGATAGGTTAAATGGCCTCATAATGCGTTAAATTTGTTACTTCAGTTACTGATTCAGGTAGGCATATTATATTGAATTCTTCTCCAAAAAACATATTTTAGTAATTTTCCAATTTACTTTGCCTCATTTTAAAAATGGACATAAAACCGTATTTTAAATATGTTTTTAATATTGTATAAATTTGAAACGTTTTGTTAACTGAAAATTTGAGAATTTACCTTAGATATTGACAAATGAAATGAACTTATATTAAATTTTTTATTCCATATAACAATCTGTTTTACCTGTTCTTTCCTCTATTCCCAGCTATGTTCTTTTTTTTGTGTTGTATATTTTTCCACCATCCTGCCTGCTAAGCTTTTTATTTTGCTTGCCTCTTTTCTCTAAATTATTATCTTTATGTCAACTTTCATAGTATGTGCCCCGTAACATTACTTAGATAATTAGGCACAGAACAATTAGTACAGTTTGGAAAAGGTTAGGTAGAATTTTTATTTTATCCTGAAATTTTAAATGCAAAGTATTTTCCCCCTTGTCAGTATTACATTCCATACAAACATGAATTTCATTGGCTTGTGTGATGTGTATAGTTTTGGCTTTTGGTAACGCACACTTGTTTGCAGTAGTAAATACTCAGGTTCAATTTCAGTTTGTTTCCCACACAAATCAAAAGATTATTTAAGCCATTGGACTGCTAAAGATTTTTAAAAGTACTTTGAAACGTTTGAAAATTAAAACTAGACTTTGAAAGGCTAGCATAATGTGACCATTTAAATTGTAAATTAAGGTTTTTTTTATTTTGAATTCATACTGAATCAATTTCTAACTCTCTACTGAGCATTAATACTTGAAAGTACTAAGATTTGCCTTATAAATATACATATGAAATTGTTCACTATCATAAATTAAAGTAGGCATTTTGTTCCACGTATGATATCTTTAAAGACGATCTCTGGGGAGCCAAGACTCAATGGGTTGAAATCTCTGCTCTGCTGTTTATTGCTGTGTGCACTTGAAAGGATTCTTCACTGTGCCTCAGTTTCCTCTTCTGTAAAATGAGGATAATAGGGTTGTTATGAGAATTAAATGAGGTAAGGCCTGTAGAATATTTGGAAAGGGGCCTGGCACTTACAAAAGTGCTAAATAAACATTTCCTTTTATTTAAATGCTTTCTTTGACTTCCTTTGATTTTTTAAAAAATTTATAATTGTACTGATTTAATAAATATAATCTAAATAAATTACTGAAAACTTCTCAACAGTTAATGAATTAATAAGGAAACAAACTTAAACCTGCCGTTGAACCTGTGTAGTTCCAAAGTGCAATGCATTTTTATACACATTTGTTTAAAAATTAAACAGTAAGCCTAAAGATTTTATGTTATAAAGAAGGAAGATTAGCTATGATGATTTTACTTGAATTTATGGATTGAAAGATTATATCAAAGTGCAGGACACATTACAATGATGTGTGAAGCACACTGATTGCCAATCATTTCTCCTATTTTATAAACTAGCATAACTGAATTGAAAAGAAGTGTTTATTGTTTAATCACACTCTGCATTCTCAGTGTTATATTCATTTAGTTATAATCATGGTAACTCAGATGTTGAAATATAACTTTATGTTATAGCGAAGTTGAAAATAAACTGAGACTTTCTTTAAAAGAGTAAGGAACGAGGGAAAATTTTGATTGCTTGAAAGTATTTACAGCCTGCTGTGTGTATCTTGTGTCATTTATTTGCCGTGTGTAGTGCTGAAAAGTGTCTTTTATGTATAGCTGCCTTGGCTGTCGAAGAGCTTGGCTTTGAGCGATTTCATGCATTAATTCAGTAAGTAACACTGGAACATTTAAAATACTTAACCTTTGGACACATTGCCATTTAAGCTTATTCATACTGTGGAAAGGTACTTAGATTTATATGCTTGAAGACTCCTTTGTTTTCAAATTTCAAAAAAGAATTTGTACATGTGTACTTAAATTATTCAGATTCCTAAATTAACTATAGAAATACACTTTTTATAACATTGAAAGCTTTTTTACCATTACAATGAAAAAAATCATTTTAGCCTAATGTTTCGCTGTCCTGAGTGAGTATAAAGATTTCTAGGATAAATATTTGAATTATTTGTTGTTTGCCAAAAATGCTTTCTATAATAATGTTTGCTAAAAGTGCCATATTTTCATTAGAGCATTTAAACTTTTTACTACAAAATGAAAGGTAAAGATAGCTATGTTGACAGAATTAAGGTGGCATTTGATTTGCAATATATTATTGATTTCTTTTAAAAGAAGCAACAAATGTACACTTTATCTCTGGTGTCAGATATTTATTAAATAATTTTCAGGCTTTAAAAAATCAAGGTTTTTTTGTTGTTGTTCTGAAACACGTCTTAGAAGAGGGCCAGCAGCGCCACTTCATTCCTTAAATAACTGTATAATGATTGAAGGATTTATCTATGCCAGACAGTTCACTAAGAGATGAAAAGGGTCTCTACCAAGTAGGCATTCTGTCTTAATGGGATATGTTATATATAGTGACAGTTGTCAACAACAGCGTTTACTTTTAATGGCTAAATTTGTATTTGAAAATTGGGGACACGTAGAAAAATCTCCTGTTTGTATACATTTTAATGTATCAGACAATTAAGAATGTTCCACTTATAGATGTAGTAAATCTCATGATGGTACTAATACTTTATTCTTTTTTCCCCCAGAAAAAGATCATTCGGAAGTTTATCAGAATTAAAAGATGCTGTCTTGGATCAGTATCCAATGTGGGGAAACAAATTTGGAGTATTGCTTTTTCTGTATTCTGTGTTACTGACAAAGGTTTGTTTAAAATGATGCTGCTTCTGGCTTTTATTAGTTTGAGTTTAGTATATGTTTCCTGTCATGAGGAAAAAATGTATCCTTGATGCTGATTCTAACTTTCAGAATATAAACCTCTTATGCTGATGACAGCTCTCTTTTCCTGCTACTCACTTTTTGCTTCACCACTTTCTAACTTACTTTCACCCCTGATCTTATGGACTGCAGAGGTTATCAGTAATATTCTTCTTAAATGAAATGCACTGTTCTTCTGAATTTTACTTTCTTTGCTGTTAGCAATATCTGGAAATTGACCCCTTAATCCCTTCTGCAAGCTCTTTCTAACCACCATCCCCTTTCTTAACTTATCTAATAAATCATTGTATTAAGTTCTCTTTCTATAATGTCTCAGAATTACTTTTTGTTTATATCTTCTTCTCCATCTTTACCTCCTGGTTCTTTGTCTCCTCCTCTAAGCTTTTATTCTAGAAATTTCAGTCTTTGGATCCTATATGCTGCTGCTTTTTATGGGTATTTTATTCTCTCCATTTACTTTTACGTGGTTAATTCCAACATGTACAGTATCAGTCTTGCCCTTTTTCCCCAAGTACCAATCTCATATCTTAGTAGTCTGTTAGTCTCAGTCTCAGTTATCCTACTAGATTTACCATGTCTAAAATCAAACTTCTTTCATTTGACAAATGATTATTGAGCATTGATCTATCCTAGGCACTGGACTTAACAGTGTGGGATACAATTCTTTTTTAATGGTTCCTCTTCGGTGTTGTAAGGAAAAAAAAATGATTGCTTTCATTACGGCATTATGTTTCACTGTTCATTGTATGCACAAAGCATGATGGGAAAATAGTAACAGTATGCCTAAGTTTATTTGGTGGAATCAAGGGCACACCATATATAGTAGGGACCATTTGATGGCTGAGTAAAACTTTTCTAGACAGAAAAGCTGTGGGAAGATTTTTCAAGCAATAAGAATAACAATTATGAAGGCATAATGAATTGAGGATACAACACATGTCTGGGGAACCATAGTAGTTCTGTATTTCTGCAACATAATACTTCAGAAAGACAACTGTGGAAGATGAGACTGTTACATAAACATGTAAGGTTTAGAATATGAAGATCCTTGTATAGTATGCAAAAATACATTAGATTTAATGAGGCCAAAATTAGGACAAAACAAACATTTTCAACAAGGGAGTAACAAGATCTTTTTGTTGATAAAAGATTCCTTAAATTGGGATAAGAATTGTACTGGAGGGAGTTGGTGTGTGGAGTATACATCTATAGTCAGGAAAAGTGATTATTGAAATAGGTGAACCTAAGCCAGGGCAGTGACCGTGGAAATGGAAAAGAAATGGAGCGTATTTAGAAGCATGTTTTAAACTTAGAAATTTGAAAACATTTAGGAGGATGTTTAAGAGAAAGGACCAAAGTACTTGGTCGTTGGTTAGAAGTGCTAAATACCAGTGGTGGCTGTATCTAAGATGACTGGTTTCTTAGGCATTCATCGTGACTTTTCATAAGTCTGCCAGGTTTTTAGGCTCAAGACTTTTGATACCTCAACTGTCTCTTGTCCTTTGCAGCCAATAAACCATCATGTCTATAGTCATTCTTCCTTGAACTGGTCTTTGAAATGATTTCCCCTCCCTCTCCGGTGGTTATATCACTTGTTCATAATATTCATTTTGCCTTTATCATAGCCCGCTTTGTACTGTTTTTTACAAGGAAGGCAAGTACAAGATCTCATACACATTTGTCACATCCTACATATCTTTACGCAATCATTAAAGATTTTGATCATTGATCAATTGTCTCTTTAATCCTTAGAAATAGCCTATATAATCTGGTAGAACCAATGGTTAGAGTTAGATGAGTAGCTCAATGAATGCAGGTTATCTTTGTCATTTTTGAGTTGATGAAGTTGAAATGCCTAGGTCTTCTTTAGTTATCTAGTATTTAGACCTTTTGGGATTTGGGCACCCTTTGGGAGGATTAAAAATATTAGAAAATTGGTTTTCAAGAAAATAAGAAGCTTCCTGCCCTCCTAGTTTATACTTTGGTCAGTACATATTTGAATTACCAATATTTGTGAGAACACACAATCAGAAGCAAACCTTCCATTTTCTTATGTATCGGTTATACCTTTTGTGTATTTAAATTTATATCTCTTATCAACACTCGTTTGTATGTTTTTTATACCAATAAGCTTTTTAAATGACCTAAGAAAATATATCAGATGCCTTAGCAGGTTTATTAGTTTTGAATTTAGCTTGAAGTTAAATGAATATTAACTTTTGGATTAATTTTCTCCTTCCTCCTCTTGAAACTTAAACTTTCTCTCTCTGTCCCTTTAACCAACATTAGATCTATTACCTGCATTCTTTATATAGAGTCCACGGAAGAAAATAAAAAGATATTCTCGGTGAAACTGCTTCCCATTATCATCTTAAATGCACCCCTGATTCAAATCTGGGTAATTCTTTGGCAGAAAAGTTACTTAAATAATTGTGTTTTATTATTTTGTAGTATGAACTGGTCAACTTTTAAATTATAATTTTCATTTTTAGTTTTTAAAATAAGCCAAGGATATTTGCTTTCTTTAGGGCATTGAAAACATAAAAAATGAAATTGAAGATTCAACCGAACCTTTGATAGATCCTGTGTATGGACATGGCAGGTAATTACTAAAATCTATTATCTTCTATATGGACTTTAATTTTTAAGAATTTGACTTAGAATAAAATACTATGGCATCAGATAATTTTGCTTGTCATTGTTAACAGTATAAAGTCTATAAATTTGAGCAGTCTTGTGTTTTATGCATTGTTTGCCTTATGTATGAACTCTTAATTTCCACTTCAGGTTTATGTATGCATTGTATTTATTGTAGCAAATATTTTGTTTTAAAATGGTTCCAGGGGTATTATAACAACTTCTGCTTGATGTTCCACTTGTAAAATGGATGTAAATAGATGAAATTTATTCATTTTGACTTAGAAATAAGTATATCCTTACCTATTTATAAATGCTTTCCTGCTTGGGAGAAAATGCTTTCCTGCTTGGGAGAAAAAAACAACAACAATTTTCTTATTTTCCTCTGAAACTACCCTCTCTGTCAATTTTTTTTATAGCTATTTCTATTAAAATTGATAAAACAGATTAACTCAGGCTAAAAAATAAGTACTTCTTTTTAGGACTTTCTGCCTCAGAGGTTCAAATTCACATATGCTCCATCAAACACAAAATAATAATTATATATGTGTTTTTAAAGATGATTATAAGTATTAAGTAAATTATCTATCATTTAGTTTTTTTATCCATTTTAATATGGTATCTTGGATAAAGTTGTTAAATTTATATGAATATATAGAACAATAGATACCATTGTAGTGATTCATTTAGTGACACATTTAGCAAGGCTGTTGTTGAGTTGAGTGTATAAAATGAAAAACATAAGATTTTTCCTAACTTTGTTACTTAAACAACAGAATTTAATGTAAAAAGTCACTACTTTATGCCTTACCACAGGGACCATTTTATTTGAAAATTCATTTATTCATATTTTAATTACTTTTTAATTTTTATTAATAGCCAAAGTTTAATTAACCTCCTACTGACGGGACATGCTGTTTCTAATGTATGGGATGGTGATAGAGAGTGCTCGGGAATGAGTAAGTATAATCTCTATGTGTGTATCTCTTACAATTAATATTTCACTAGAATACAGTTGATCGTTACTCATCTACTTAATGGCTCTGCATCACTTAGAAGTTAAGATAAGTGCTTTATAATACAAGTTTTTACAGTTTTCAAGGTACTATATAACCTGAAGAGCATAGACTTTGGAGGCAAACTTGGGCTCAAATCCCAAATTACTTTTCAAGCCTTTGGTTTTCTCTAGTATAAAATTGGGATTATAGGGCTACCTTCTTTAGCAAAAGTTAAATATAGATCTCTTGATATATGTATATAAACTGAATATATACTTAGGCAGTGGTATGAATAAGTCTGGAACACTGTTGCATTGTGCTTAAAATTAAGGAGAATTATAAATGTATTTTTAGAGATGGTTATAAATATTAAGTAAATTATCAGCATGAGTATCATTTATTTCTTCATCCATTTAAATACAATATCTTGGATAAAGTTGTTAAATTTATATGAATATATAGAATAGTAGATACCATTGTGGTGATTCATGTGGTGACATATTTAGCATGGCTGTTGTTCAGTTGAGTGTATAAAATGAAAAATGTATTGTGATTTGAAATATCTACTTTGAGAATCTAGTGGTTTTTCTTGTATTAATTTTAATGTACAGAATTTCCTTTAAGATGCTGGGCAAATTTAATGTTAAACCACCATCCCCTCTACCACTACCTCCATTGCTGGTCTCAATTATTATTTTCCTATTACTTTTCTATGTTGCCAGGGACATTGAAGTGAAATACCTTTGGCCAGTCCATCCAGTTAAGAACTGATATATAGCTCTGAATAAAATGCTCTTCAGCTTATTACTGAGTCTGTCTAAATTCATGTATTTACTCATTTAACTTATATTGAGTAACTACTGTGTACCTCCCATTGAAGTAGGTAGCATAACCCAGGAAGTTCTGTAGTCCTTATACTTCACAGGGAAATTTATTTCTTCTATAATTATATAAAACTCACCAAATGACCGAAGCAAATATTTTGATTGAGAAAATAATAGTTTTGATTTTTGTTCCCATTTAAATGAGTAAGCCTTGATCTTAAATTTGAGTTTTTCTTAACTAACAGAAACATGATAGGATATAACATTGAGGGGGAAAAGAATCAGTAAAAATTACGTAATTTCAGAATGAAAAAGTACCTCAGCGTGATCCAATCCTTTATTTTACTGTTTCAGAAATGTAAGAACTACCCGCCTTCCCTACATTAGATAAATACCGTATTTCCCCATGTATAAGACGCACCCTTTTCCTAAAAATTTGGAGTCTAAAAACTGGGTGCATCTTATACAGTGGTCGTAGATTTTTTTTTACCTGCATTTCCCGCTTTTTTCGTGCTTGTTTTTGCGCTCATACAACCACTGTATAAGACGCATCCAGTTTTTAGATCCCAAATTTTTCGAAAAAGGGTGTGTCTTATACATGGGGAAATACGGTATATGGAAATTATTCTCTTCATGATGAAGTTAGAATGAAAACCTAGTTTTGCTAATTTGGGGTAAAGATCTAATTTTAAACAGTAAAATTCACAGTAAAAAAATCTGCACACGTTATCTTCTCAATTTTTTGTGAGTCCTTCCTCTTCATCAACCCTCATCCTCACTGATAGCTGAAAGCATTTAGTCCTGCCAGTTAAAGATTAATATGCAGGTTTCTCACTCTTGATGGCTTCTACACACCTCTTCCTCCTTCCCGATGGTTTCTGGGCCCTGATGTGTCTTATATCATCTGAGGTAATTAGGGAAAGAATGTCCGGTTTCTGCCAAACTTTGGCTGAGGTATCTCATCCCACTTGGCCTTTGTCCTTGCTACTCCTATGTGCTGTGGCTCGTAACTCTTTCCACCTGGACTTTTGTGCATTGCTCTGACTTCTGTACTAGTTATCACAGTCCTTTCTACACATTCTGCAGGTGCTCCCAGCCCTCTCCTATTCCCAGAACCAGAATATTTCTCCCTAGTTTCCCTCACCCAGCCTCCCATAGGCTTTTTTCTTGCCCTGTGCTACCTTTACAGAATATTAGTCAAGTATTCAAGTTTTGGTTTTTGATATGTACAAATTCATCCTTTTCTGTTTCTTGAAATAGCTTTCAGAGCTTTTGACGTGCTGTGGATTTATTTTCAGATTAGTTTGAATATCAAAACTAAGCAATGGCTTTGAAATAATTATTTTGAAAAAGAAAGTAGACGGTATATTTCTTGCATTTTCCCTCAGTCATTAGAAATGTTGGCTTGAAGTTGAATCTATTTTCAGTCACCAAACTTAAAATAAAAATTCATACATTCATTCAGGATTTATTCGATGTTTTTCTGCTCTGCCAATATGGGAGGAGGTTATACTCTATGTGATATACAAAAGAAAAATTTAATTAAAGAGTAAGAATTTCAAAATCTTTAGGCAAGCCACTTTACTTCTCATGATTTCCGTTTCCTTATATATAAAAGAGATGTTGTAAAGGTGAAGATGAAATTTCTAAGATGCCCTAACTTGCCATAAGAACTCAGGTTTCCCTCAAAAGCCTACACACTTAGTTTGGGGAAATAAGGACATGCACACAAATAGCTGTAATGCAAGGTACAATGAAGCGTGTTGACATAAAGTATTCTAGAAGGTAAGGGGAAGGAGGAATCTTTCCCTATATGTTTATGTTGGGGTGAGGGGAGAGACTTCAAGTAGGATTTAACATTCTAATTGGGCCAGATGGAATGAGCAAGAGGATGTTTTGGGAGAAAAATATAGGCTGTGTTTAGGGACAGGGACGCAAATCAGTCTGATTGGAGTAGTGGCTCTGAATCCTGACTACATATTATCACTTGGAGAGCTTAAACATATGTCAGTTATCAGGGCCCAGCTGAGAATAAATAAATGAATAAATTAGAATCTTTAGGTGGTGGGACCCGGGCGTGGTAATTTTAATATTTAATATCCCACCTGTATGATTCTAACGTACATCCAGGTTTGAGAGGCAATGGATAAGAGCATTGGATCTGTGAAGGAGACTAAGTAAGAGGGACAGTCATAAATAAATGTGGGGTTGCCTAGCAGCAGAGGATCTTAAATACTAAGAAGTTTAAGCTTTAGTTGACAAACATTAGGAAGAGAGTCACTAAAGATGTTTGAATAGCAATAACATAAGACTTATAAAATGAGAACATTAATCTGTCAGTTTGTAAAATGTGTTGGCATGGGATGACCTGTCAAAAGCACATAGCCTAGACAAGTGAGAGGTAATGAGATGAAAATAGGCAGGGCAAGGGAAGAAAAAGAGATCAATTGGTATTTATGTACTTAGTGTTGAGGATTGTGTTTTGGATATGTATCTTCTTAACCTCAATATATAGTTATAAAAACGGGGGCTCAAATAATTGAGTAACTTGCCCAATGTCGAACAACACAGGCGTAACTGCTTGTGACCACGCCCAGGGCCTGTGCTCATTGGCGATAGCACGTTCTCCTGCTGGCCCACCGCCTCTGTGTGGGTGAGGATGGGAGAGGAGGTTTGTAGAGTTTAGCAGCTAGTTAGATATATGAGGGAGAGGTGCAGAAAACCAGTGGGTTTTCAGATAAAGCTTATTGAAGAAACGGACACACAAAAGAGACATGGCAACTTGGCTTAAAGTGCTGTGTGTGTTTTGGCAGTAGAAAAAACAATCTTTGCCCTCAAGTGTTTCATTTTCTTTAAAGAGCAAGAACAACTACTGATGATTAAGAATGCTCATTATGCAGCTGTGGCAAAAATTTATTTAACACTGTGCCAAGCAGTGTTCTTAGTACTTAATGACTATAGATATGTTTTTCCATTTACTCACTTCATATGAAAGGCATAGAACACAGGCACAGAGTGGTTAGCATCTCACTTCATTTCATGCAGCTTAGTGAATAGCAGAGCTGAGGTTTGAACCACAGTAGTCCGACTCCATACAACCAGCATACTTAACCATTATATTATAATATACTGCTGCTGTGCTACACTTAACAGAATCTTGAGTGCAGTAATAAATATGTGAGATGATTTGGAAGAGTTTATCTTAATAAATTTCACAGTAGCCCTAAGAGGTAATTTTCCTTGTTTGTAGACAGAAACTGAGAGTGAGCATTGAATGCAAAGACTCTTGTCTATGACACAGTTAATGAATGAACTGTGCTACCTATCTCTTTGAAGGAGAATGAGAGCTAAGAATAGGCTATGAATTGAGCAATTAGCAAGATCTTTGCTTTCAAAGAGCCACTGAGATGGAAGCCAGGTCATAGGGAGTAAATATTTTAGCTTGGTAAGCAAGCACTGGTGAAAGGGTGGATAGAGAAGAGTCCTCTGTCTGGTCATAGTAAGGCCAAGAGATGGTCTACATTGTTTTTGTTTTAAGGGATAGAAGTCACCTAAATTGTCGAAGGGAAGGGAACCTCTTTTAATAGAAGAGATACTAAATGGGCTCAAGACTAGCATATTAACCTTGGAAAGATGCACAGTTCTTCTCAAAGAGGAAGAAAGAATGTGGAGAGAAAAGAAAAAGGCATTTCGAGGTGCGAAAAATTTTAATTGGGAGAACTCTTGAGATTTTGAAGTTTGCTGAAAAGGTGGCAGGGGTAAAGTTAGAGGCATATAAAAAGGAGAGAAAGGGTTTGAATCAACTGCTTTAAGAAGGAATATAAAAAAGGATTATGAGAGAAAATTTTAAATGTGTAATCAATAATAGAGTTGAGATGAGGTGACGTAAGATTTAGAGTGGAACCAACCAGTAAAGCTTATGGTTGGGTTTTTTCCAGCCCTGATGATGTATCTGGCCAGTGGGAGAGAAAAATGGATACTATGAGTTAAACCCAGGAGAAAAGGCCAAGAAGGTTCAAATGAAAGATATAGGCGGCAGTGTTCTCACCTTTATTTATGAAGGATATCGATGCTTCATCTGTCATATATAATAAACATTTTTTCCCAGTCTGTCACTTACCTTGAGTTTATTTATAATGAATATTTAAATTGTTTCCATTTGGGGCTGTTACAGACAATGCTGCAGTAAACATTTTTGGATCTTTCTGTGCATATTTAAGTAGTCCTATAGGATAGATTCCTAAAAGTAGTGTGTATGTTAAAAATTTAGGCATGTGTTAATTTTTTTTACCCATAGGTCTATTGAGATATAATTCACACATCATACAAGTCATCCATTTAAAACATAGAAGTCAGTGGTGGTTAGTATGTTCTTAGAGTAGTGCAGACATCAATTTTAGAACATTTTTACCACCCCAAAAAGAGCCCTTGTACCCATGAACAGTCACTCCTCATAATTTCCTCCCCCTCAGCCCCTAGCAACTATTAATCTACTTCCTGTCTATAGATTTGCCTATTCTGGACATTGCTTATAAATACAATCATATAATATCTGGTCTTCTGTGACTGGCTGCTTTTACTTGACATAATGTTTTCAGGGTTTATGTTTTAGCCTGTATCAGCACTCCACTCCTTTTTATTGATGAATAATATTCCATTATATGGTTTATACCATGTTTTATTTATTCATTCATCAGTTGATGGCCATTTGACATCTTTCCATTTGGCCATCATGAATAATGTGGTTAGGAACATTTCTGTACAAATTTTGATAAGGATATTTGTTTCCATTTTCTTTGGTCTCTACCTAGGAGGGAAAAATTCTGAGACACATGGTAACTCTATGTTCAACCTTTTGAGGAATGCCTGTTAAAGTTTGATAGATAATGCCAAATTTACTTCTAAAATTTACTTTACCAGCTGCAAAAGTATAAACTTACGCATCCAACATCGTTTGACAGTTGCTATTTTTCTGCATCCTGCTCAACACTTAGAACTATCCGTCTTTAATATTTTGCCAGTTTGTTAACAAGTGATAGCCTATGTTAATTCACATTTCTCTGCTTCCTGGTGACTTTGTGCTTGATTATTTTTTTGTGTGTTTGTCTATTTTTAGTTTTTCTTTTTCTGGAAATTACCTCTTTTGTTTTGGCATTTTTGGCCAGGGGTTATTTTCTTTTATTCACAATTTCTAGGAGCTCTCAGTTCTTATGTATAAATTCTCTCAGTTCTTGCATTTTAAATCTGTGTTGCAAATATTTTCCTTCATTCTATTCTGTCTCTATTAACTTTGCTAATGGTATCTTTTAATGTTTAGCTCTTTGTTACTTTTTCCCAAAGAATTACCTAATATCCTAACTCCAGTCAATTCTCCACAAATATGAAACGTCTACTTTATCAAATAAATTTTCTCATTTTGTATGAATCATTCTTGGACTCTTCTATTCCACTAATCTATTTGTGAGTGCTTATGCCAAATCAAAACTGTTATATAGTTTTATAACATACTTTGATATTTGTTAGCACATGTTTTCTAAACTGTACTTTTTTAAAATTGTCATAGTCGTTTCTACATTATCTATTCCAATTGAACTGCTTTTCAGCATCAGTTATAACAAATCTATTAGGATTTTGATTGAGGTTACATTAAATTTCTAGATTATTTTAAAGAAGTGACATCTTTACCATATTAAGGCTTTCCACCTAGATTTGTTTTTTATGTCTTTTAATGAAATTTATATATTGCTGATCATATAGTTCCTGAAACCATGTACTTTATTCTACCATTAAAACTATCTTGTGCTTCTGCAATAGATTAGAAATAAAACTACAGTAGAACTAACTACTTAATTTCCTTGTTGCCCACCCCCTCTGTCCATTATAATGGCTAACATCATATTTTTAAACTAAATCAGATCATGATGCTCTCTTACTTAAAACCTTCAATGGCTGGTTAAAATAAACTCTAAACTCCTTACCTAGGCTCTGAAATCCTTTTGTGGTCTGGCCAATTTACCTGCCATCTGTGTTCATTTTGTACAACTACATGAATTTTGAGCTGACGTTTTCTTTGATTTTGTTTTTCTGTAGCTGAGTTTTCCCATGGTCTCTTTTCTGTTTTAAAGGAATCCCCCAGTATTTGTATACTCTGTTTTTATATGTATTACACATGCGTTGTTTTGTATGTTTATTCGATGAATATTTTTATTTTGTTTTCATTTTTTTGTGATTAAAATAGTCAGCTCTAGTAAACCAGAAACCCAGAAAAGTATTTGGTTTCTCAGAGTTTGTGTGAGAAAAGATCAGAAGTACTTATTTTCTCCAAATTTTATTAGTTGTAAAACTATATTTAATTAGCTAGAAGTAAGTTGCCAGATAAAATCTATGAGATTCCCAGTTAAATTTGAATTTCAGATAAACAGTGAATAATTTTTAGTATAAGTATGCCCCATACAGTATTAGAAATACATTTAAATACTAAAAAACTTTTTTATCTGAAATGTAAATTTAATTGTGCATCTTGTTCTTTTTCTTGCTAAATCTGGCAACCCTAGCTAGATGCCAACTCTAGCAACAACTTCTTAGGAATCCAATCAACAACGCTGAGTGGGTTTAAAACGCTCCTCAGTTTCAGAAATACATTTCACAAAGATTATGGCTCAAATTGCTTGTACCTTTACCTATAAGTTAGGTAACCAAGCCTTCCTTGGTATTTTATTGCTTTTTATTTTAGCTATTCTTACATTCTGATAAAGAAAAAATCGTTTTTGGGTTTTTTTTCATGTTTTTATACTACAGTTTCTTTACCTTACTTACTCTAGGACCCTACATGGTTTCATCCCAGCTAATTTTTTCAGCCATCGTGAACCTATGCTTGAACAAAATTATGCTTCTTGCTTCCATTTCTTTGTTCATCCTACTCCTTGTGCAGGCCTCTATCCCTCTCATCTGTCTGTTCAATCCCTCAATGCCCACGTCATATGTTGTCCTTCCAAGGAGAGCTCCCTGATTCTCACAGCTAAAAGGGATCTTTTTTTACCTGAGCACCTTATTCTCTGTTGTAACCTACTGTTTTTATTTGGGGGGTGAGGTGAATTTTTTTTTAATAGAACAAGGAACATTTAACATGAGGTCTACCATCTTATTAAATTAAGATACCATATAAGTATACATAAGAAATTGTACAACTAATCTGTAGAGTTTATCAGTCTTGCATAACTGGAACTTTGTATCTGTTGAATAGCAATTCTCCATTTCCTCCTCCTCCCAGCAACCACCATTCTACTCCGCTTCTATGAGTTTGACTATTTCAGATGCCTCATATAAGTGGAACCATGCAGTATTTCTCCTTCTGTGACTGCCCTATTTCACTTAGTATAATGCGCTCGAGGTTCATTCATGTTGCCACATATGATAGGATTTCCTTCTTTTTTAAAGCCAGAATAATGTTCCATCATGTGTGTATACCACAATTTCTTTATTCATTCATTCATTACTGGACATCTAGGTTGTTTTGACATCTTGGCTACTGTGAATAGTGCTGCAATGAGCATGGGAGTGCAGATATCTCTTTGTGATCCTGATTTCAATTCTTTTGGATTAAATACCCAAGTGGAATTGCTGGATCATCTGGTTGTTCTATTTCTAATTTGTTGAGGAACCTTTATACTCATTTCCTTTTCAGCTGCACCATTTTACATTCCCACCAACATCGTACAATGGTTCCAATTCCTATACATCCTCATCAACACGTATCTTTTACTTTTTTTATAATGTCCACCCTAACAGATGTGAGGTGATCTCTCATTGTGGTTTTGATTTGCGTCTCTGATGATTAATGATGTTGAGTATCTTTTCATATACTGTTGGCCATTCCTATGTATTCTTTGGAGAAATATCTATTTAAGTTCTTTGCCCAGTTCTTAACTGGGTTATTTGTTTATTTGCAACTAAGTTATAAGAGTTCCTTATTTACTTTGGATATTAACCCCTTATCAGATATGTGGTTTGCCAAGAGGGTCTTGTCTTCTTCATCTTCATATTCCTACACCATGTTTTAGCATTGTTTTTTTTCAATACTTGGCACTCAGGGTGTGTTTGTTAAACTTAATGCAGCTATTTGGTTTCCAAGTCAGCATCAAATTGGAAAGGCCCGAGAGGGACTTATCTAGACACCCTATGATAGCAGTGAAAAGTGATAGTTGAGAATGGGGAAGAGTATAAAAATGCAAACTCAGGAATATAAAACTGCATGCACACACATTCACTTATGAAGCAAATAAGGGTTGATAGGGATCTGTCATAATTAATCTTAAATACTAGGCTAAGAAAATGAAGTTAGAAAATTATAAATATAATGACAATTATTGGAATTTTCTGCAAATGTAAATAAACTTTTTTGAGACATATTGAGAAAAGTCTTGTATAGGTAAATTCTATAAGTTGTAATATGTGAGAATATTATAGCCTCACTAATTACAACTTTGTACAATAATATTCTTTTTTTTTTTTTTA